TTTCCATGTTCTGGCTATTACAGATAGTGCAGCTGTGAACATAGTTGAACAAATGCTTTTGTAGTATGATAGTGTGTTTCAGGAGATCCAGAGCTACATAGTGAGACAGTGTTTCCAAAACAAAATAGAAGAACAAGGTCTAATCTTGTAAGGATTTTATGAAAAAAAAAAAAGATTGATTCTGTTTGATGTTGGAACAAGTATGACAATGTTGAGGTCATCTGTAACAAAACCCCAATCGTCATTGAAAAATTTTGTTTTCAACTCCACTGCCTTTGTCTAAAGGTTTTTAAGCACATCTGGATTTACTTTGGCAGAAAAAAAGTGCTCAGAAATTTGTATATGTTCGTAAAGATTTTTTTTAGGCTTCTTGAATAGAGCTACTAGGTGAAAAACTCTTACAAAATATAACATTGATGACATCAAACACTATCCATTGAAAGTGGCTCTCCCACTGTTGATTGGCTGATTTTCTGCTTTATGAAAAAGCATCTCATGGAGGGTATGGGCCATGGCATACACAGCATTATATACATCTTAACTATCATCACTCAAGGCCATATCAAAACTCTGTAGCATTAACCATTCCAGTGAGGCATTCAATGAGCAGTTCTCCAGTGTCTTACACCTAGATGTTAAGGCTTCACAGCTAAAGTACATCCACCACAGTCTTGCAAGAAAAATGTCTGTGTATTTTGAAGAGTTCAATATCTGAACATAATTTTTAAAACCAGAAATCTCAGCATGGTGGTATGCAAAAACAAGAGTCCTGTGGAATGAGTCAAGGGTGAAGTCACTCTTACTTGTAATGATATCCCACTGTGAAGTGGTGACCTATAGTTTCAGTATACCCTGCAATTTCCACATTATAAACACACAGCTAGAGTATCATCTGTGTCACCATAAATGATAATAACATCTGTGGATGGTGTCATGATTTGATTGTACACTTCTGATCTTGACATGTAAAATGTGTGTTGCCTGGGATCATAATCACAAAGGATAAACAAACACTTTTGGGTTCAGTTTCTCCTCTCAGATCTGAGAGAAATTGATTACCTTTGTCATCATCTAGGATGGCCAGACCAACCCAGTTCCAATTGAAGTGAAGGATCAAGAGACCATGGCCAGGGGCAGAAATATGTCCTTGGAGGTCATCTGATACAGATAGGGAAATTGTTCACTATCACTCAGGATAGGATTGAAAGGTCCATAGGTGAGCTGAAGGACATAAAACACAATGAGCATCATGAGATAGAGAATCGTCAGAAATCTCAGTGGAATCCTGAAGTGTGTATAATGCAAGTTTGAAATGACATGAAGAGCAAGCTTTCCACATTATTACAGTTAAACTACATTACTAGGAATATGAAAAACCACTTTTCTACAAATTGTTCAAGAAAAATCCCACTGACTTTTAATTCTTATTCTCAACTATTTATCAAACAATTAATTGTAAATGTCTCATTGAGTTCCTGATTAATTACCCTTGAACTACATGGATTTACATGTATGTGAAGTTTATTTCTCCCTTTGTAGTCATAGGTTGCTCTATTCTTCCCAACTTCTCAGACCCTAAGTAATTACACAGAAACTATATTAAATGCAATACTCTTTGGCTAATAGCTTAAGCATATTTCTAGCTAACATCTTAAATTAACCCATTTCTATTATTTTATATTTTACCTCAAGGCTCATGGTTTACTGGCAGGTGGTGCAGGAGAATTGTCTGTATTCTGTCAATCATGTTTGAAATAAACGTTGATTGGCCAGGCAGGAGGTATAGGTGGGAAAACCAGACAGGAAGTGGAAATGATGCAAAGAGAGCAGGAGAATTCTGGGGAGGAGGAAGTTGATTCCTCCCACTCCTGCCCAGATCACCAAAGCAGCAGGATGTGAGCTGCCCCACTGAAAAAGGTACTGAGTCACATGGCTAACATAGATCAGAAAAATGGGTTAATCAATATGTGAGAGTTAGCCAGTAAGAAGCCTGACCTAACGGGCCAATCAGCTTTATAACTTTCGGAGTCCTTTGTGTGATTTTTCTCTGGGACTAAACAGCTAGGGGTTTGGACAGGACAGAAAAACCCCAACAAACAAGCAGGCCCCTTCATGTTACATAATGGCGCCCAAGTGAATAACTGAATCTACAGAAAGCCTGAGAAAGCTTGGGAAAGACTAGAGTAAAGTATTTTGGTTTTCAGCCATAGCAGGAAAAAAGCTGTGCTGTTTTAAAATGCCGGCTTTCTGGGCAATCCTGCCAGGGAAAACTATTGACTCTTTCAAGCAGATGGACACATTGTTGCAGCTTGCTTCCTGGCAAGGACCTTGAAAGCCATAGGAGCTTTTGAGTGTTGTCTTCTCCATATTCCTTAGCAAATTAAAGACTCACATGGTCAGAAAGAGAGAGATATACAGTAAAGAGAGATTCAAAGGAAAAAAAAACCTCTAAATGGTTTAAAGTCCTTAGAAATAAAAAAAGAAAGAAAGAGAGTGGTTGGGTGTGGTGGTACATAGCTTTAATCCCAGCACTGGGGAGGCAGAGACAGACGGATCTCTGGAAGTTCAAGGATAGCCTGGTCTACATAGGGAATTCCAGGACAAAGATATGCAGAGAACCTGTATCAATAAGCCAAAAGTTAAAAGTAAAAATAAAAGAAATAGAGGTTAAAATAAAGCCACATAAAGATGGAAAATATACAGAGAATCTTGATACTGTTTGCTATTATGCTCTCTTTAAATTGTTTGAATGCTGAGGAAGGAGCAACAGCTGCTAAAAGATATTTGCTTATAAATGCTGCAGAATTAATCCAAGATAGGTATTTTGAAAATACCTTGGCTTCAAATTTGAAGTCAAAAGGTATGTTACTTTGGAGAAGAGATTTTGCTTTTGTTTTCACAGAAAATGAGAGGCTCTGGATTTATTCAGAGTTAAGAAAAATCGTCTTTGACCAAGGGAGACCACCTGGGCAATCTCCGGTAGGACCAGATGGCCCAGATGTCTGAGTTCTTCATCCAGAACAGGTTCAAGACTGCTTCCTGAGATGATCAAGACTCACAGGATACTTCAGTCAGGACTTGATCATAACTCTAAATTTTTCTTTAGGTCCCCATAAGATTGTCAGCACCCCCAACCAGTGGAAGTAGCCTGGAATACTACGCCCACATTCCTAAACAATGGACTATGGATATTTTCCTTTTTTAAAAAAAAAGAGGGGAAGTGGTATGGGAGAATTGTCTGTATTCTGTCAATCATGTTTGAAATAAATGCTGATTGGCCAGGCAGGAGGTGTAGGTGGGAAAACCAGACAGGAAGTGGAAATGATGCAAAGAGAGCAGGAGAATTCTGGGGAGGAGGAAGTTGGTTCCTCCCACTCCTACCCAGATCACTGAAGCAGCAGGATGTGATCTGTCTAGCTGAAAAAGGTACTGAGCCACATGGCTAACATAGATCAGAAAAATGGGTTAATCAAGATGTGAGAGTTAGCCAGTAAGAGGCAGGTTCCTGTGTGTCTGTCTCCTGAAGCAACTACTTGGCATCTCAATGACTCCACCTATTCTCTGTCTACACTTCTGTTTAGATTTCCCACCTGGCTTTATTCTGTTAAGTCATTGATGGAAAGCAGCTTTATTCATTAGCCAATAAAATCAAGACATATACAGAAGGACTCCCAAATCACCCCTTATAAACTTAGTATCAGTTTATGCCAACTAAGGAGAAGGATTCCAAATATTCCCACCCAAACAATTCACCTGTGGATATTCATAGAGCTGCACAAATGATGTCAGGCTCACAGATGTTGCTAACATTGGTCCTGTAATCACTACTTCACATTTGGTCTCATCTTCACAGCTGTAGTTAGGAAAAAGACTATGTCTTTTTGCAGCAAAATTTATGAAATTTTGAAATGCCTTTTTTACTACCATAATTGTTAGTGAAGAAGTAAAATATTAGAGACAGATTTGGTAGAAGTTATGGATTTCTGTTTATTTCTTCTACAACAAAAACCAAAGACAGAAAATCTTGTAATTTTGAGTTGGTATTCTGAAAATAAGGATACAGGTTTTATTATAGATAAGGCTCAGTAGATGAATGCTTTGTAGTTAGTACAAAAACTATTCTGCATTTAATGTCATTTTCAGATAAATCTCAACAAATTCCCCTGTGCTGTAAGGTAGGAAAGACATGAGATGTGTGGGAGATTGAAAAAACCTAATAATTTGATGAGAATGGATGTTAGAAAAATGAGAAATGTGTTCTTGTCAACCTTGACAAGAGAATTTCACCTTGGCTCTATGAGTATAGGATGTACATGTGATAAAAGATAAGTGTACTTGCACTTGCATCTGTAAGTGCACTTGAGAATGCAGTTCTCATGGAGGTCAGAAGTGGAATCTGAAATTTGCACATTTGAAATTATGAGTAGTTTTGAGATGTCTGGCAACATGAGTGGTTAAAACTGAACTCAGGTTCTTTGACAGAACAGTAAATGCTCTTAAGTGCTGACCCATGTCTACAGCCCTAGTATAGCCAGTAGATAATTTTCCATCCATTTGTAAGCTGTCTCTTACCTTGTTCATAATTTCTTTGAATGCAAACAAAATTAATTTTATACAATCACACTTGCTAATTTCTATTCTTAATGCCTGAGCTATTCGATGAATATTTCCTCAATGTTTTCTTCATCAGTTTCATAGTTTTGGGACTTAAACCAAAATCTTTGATCCACTTTGACTTGATTTTGGAACAGGATAATGGTTTGAGATACCTCTTTTCAACCTCTGGATGGCAGTTTTTGCACTAGAATTTGGTGAACAGGCTGTCTCTTCTCCATTGTACATATGAAGGGGAGATTGATTGTTATTAAATTGTATTTTTGCCTGTAGTATATTTTGATAATGTTTTTATCCTCTTCCAGTTTCTTCCAGATTCTCTCCAACTCTCTACCCATCTACTTTAATACTTTATATTTTTCCTCTATTTCTTTCTTTTTAAAAAGGAGGAAAAGGGCCCAAAGATCACAAGAATGAGAACCAAAATAAACATCAAAAACCAAATAGATACCTAATAGAAGATAAAGTTGGAAGTAGCCTTGAACACATTGGCACAGGAGACTACTTTCTGAATAAAACAGCAGTATCAGACACTGAGTTAGACAATTAATGAATGGAACCTCCTGAAACTGAGAAGCTTCTGTAAGGCAAAGAACTCAGTCAACACAACAAAACAGCAATCTACAGAATGCGAAAAAATCTCCATCAACCCCTCTTCTGACAGAGGGCTGATCTTCAAAATATAAAAGAATGCAAGTAACTAGATACCAAAATATCAAATAATCTAATTACAAAATGGGCTACAGATTTAAACAGAGAACTCTCAACAAAGGAATCTCTAACAAACAAAAGACACGTAAGTAACTACTCAACATCCTTAGCCATCAGGAGAATGCAAGTCAAAATGACTTTGATATTCCATCTTACACTAGTCAGAATGGCTAAACAATAATGACACATTATACTGAAGAGGATACAGAGTAAGGGGAACACTCCTCCATTGCTGGTGGGAGTGCAAATTTATGCAGACACTTTTGAAATTAGTATGGTGGTTTCTCAAAAAAAATGGGAATCAAAATACCTCACAACCAAGAAATATCATTCTTGGGCATATACCCAAAGTATGCAGACACATACCCCAAGGACATTTGCTCAACTATGTTCATAGCAGCATTATTTATAATAGCCAGAATCTGAAAACAATCTAGATGTCCCTCAATCGAAGAATGGATAAAGAAGAGGTGGTGTATTTACACAATAGAGTACTGCTCAGTGATTTAAAAAAAAAAACAATGGCATTTTGAAACTTGTTGGCAAATGGATGGAACTAAAGAAAAACATCCTGAGTGAGGTAACCCAGACATAGAAAGACAAAGACAGCATTTACTCACTAATAAGCGGATATTAGACATAAAATAAAGGATAATCAGCCTACAGTCCACAACCCCATAGAAGACAGGAACACTGAGGGAGACATACATAGATCCTTGGGAAGGGGAAGTAGACAAGATCTCCATAGTAATTTGGTAGCATGTGGGTAAAGGGAATGTGTGGTAGGGGAGCAGGAAGGGAATAAGGGGAGCAGGGAGGAGAACATGAGGAATTAGGAAGACTGAGTTTTGTAAAGGACAGGGTTTTAGAGCAAGAAAAGGGATACCTTGAAGGAGGGAGCCACTATAGGGTTAGTGTGAAACCAGGCACTATAGGGAAACTCCCAGGAAACCACAATGATGACCCAAGCTAAGAATCTCAGCAATAGTGGGGAGGGTACCTAAGATGTCCTTCCCCTGTAATCAGATTGATGACTACCTTAATTTTCATCATAGAACCTTCATCCAGTAACTGATGGAAACAGATGCAGAAATCCATAGCTAAGCACTTGGTTGAACTCCTGGAATCCAGTCACAGAGAAGAGGAGTGATATTATGAACAAAGGGGTCAAGACCATGATGGGGACACCCACAGAAACATCTAACATGAACTCATTGACCCTGGATTGGCAGCTGTGGAATAAGCATAAAACTGAACTAGGACCTCTGAATGTGGGTGACAGTTGTGTGCATGATCTGTCTCTTTGGAGCCCATTCCCTTGGATGGATATCTTGTTCAGCCTAGATACTGGGGGGAGTGCATGATTCTACCTCAAGTGAAGTGGCAGACTTTATTGACTACCCATGGGAGGCCTCACTCTCTCTGAGGAGTAGATGGTAGGTGGGGTGTGGTGGGGAGAAGATGTGAGGAATGGGAAGATGGGAAGGAGAGTGAACTGGAAGTGGTATGTAAAATAGTAAGATTTTATATACCATTCCCAGTGGTTTCACTGGTCTCACTGCATTTTAATATACCATGGCTTACTGGAATCCATGGGGTAGCCACAATTTCTGAAGATAAACAATGGAAAAAGAATGAATTGGGGGTTGGGAGATAGAGAAGGGGGGGGAGCTGGAAAGAGAGAGGAAGCTTTGGGTGGGATGTAAAACCATGACATGAATAAAATATAATAATAAATATGAAAACAAAAAATAAATAGACAAAAAGCATAAGTGAAGCAAAATAACTGCCACATATATGCAGAGAAGCTCTGTCAGTCCCATGCAGGCTCCCTGAATGTTAGGTCAGTCTCTGTGGGCTCCTATCAGCTCAGGGTAGTTGTTTTTGTGGATGTTTTTATGACCTCCTTGAGCTTTCTGGATCCTACATTCCTTCCATTCTCTCTCCAGGATTCACTGAACACAGCCTAATGTCTGACTATGGGTCCCTTCCTCTATTCAGGAATTCCTTTTTTAAAAAATTTCCAACTGCAACAAAAAAACTAATAATTTAAATGTACCATGACTTCATGATCTGTTCCTCAGTTGATAAGTTTTTAGGATGCTTACAATTTCCAACTGTTATAAATAGAGCAAAAATGAAAATGATGAACAAGTATTTGTGTAGTAAAATGTAGAATGCTTTGGGTATGTGCCCAAGAGTACTATAGCAGGACCTTGAAGTAGATAATTCACAACTTCATGAGAAATTGCCACACTGGTTTACATAGAGGTACTTTTTTTTACTCCAGATCTTTGGTTATGTCAAGATTGCCCCAATATCTAATTCCTGAGGTTTTATTAATACTAGAACAATTTAGATAAATGTTTCACATATATGTATAAATATATATTTGTACTTATTATGTATTTATACATATTTATAGTCATATTTATATATTTTATATATATTTATACACATAAGAAACATTTATCTAAATTGTTCTAGTACATATGAAACATTTCTCTAATAATATATTTGAAACTTGTATTTAAATTGTTCTAGTATATATGAAACATTTTTCACTTATTTGAATTTTCATGTGTGTGTGTAAATATCAATTGCTCAGTCTATATACTGTTATTTGTATGTATGTTTTTAGGGCTGACCATATTGGTATTGGACAACCAATTAGTGAGATTGTCCCTGAGGAAGTCTTTCTTCCATTCTCATGATTCCTTCTGTATTTTACTGGACCACTTTATATCAAATTGACACAAGCTAGAATCAATTGAAAGGAAGAAAACTCATTTGAGAAAATGTCTTGAAAAGATTCAGCTGCAGATCTCTTTATTATTTATGGAATAATGGTGGAGGTTACACTACTTAATGGCTGGTTTACTGCCACTGTTTGTGGTCCTCAGTTGTATGAGAATGTAGGCTCAGTGAGTTGTTATGGGCAAATCAGTAAAAAGCATTACTTTATGACCTCTGGATCATCTCCTGCCTCCAGGCTCTGGTCCTGTCTTAGTTCTTATACTGACTTCTTTCACTGATGAACAGTGATAGTGAAGCATAAGTCAAATAAATCCCTTCCCCATCTTGCTTTTTGTTATTCTCTTTCATTGCAACAACAGAAACCATAACATAAACATTAATATTTCTAAATTTAGTTTTGAGATAGGGTCTGACGTAGCCCAGTTTGGACTTGTTCTGCTATGTGATGGGTGATGACCTTGGATAGTTGCTTTCCTGTCTGCAACCCAGAGCTTCCTTTGTGCTCAGCAGGTGCTCCACCAAGAGCTGGTTTATATGCAAGATTCTGCTATTCTGTGTCTTCAGTTCCAAAAACTTTGACGATTATCATTCAGTTTGTCATGTGTGTATGTGGTGATTTGAACATGAATAAATGAACGGCCACTTTGTAAAGTTTGCTTCATTTTGAGTACTCTGCAGAAAACTCTCAAATTGCTGCCTCCTGTTTCCTTGTGGTGCCTCTTGCCTTCTTATAGGCATTTATGATGCAGAGTCTCCTTCCCCACAGATGCTTCTCTGACCTATCTGTTCCCATTTAGCAAATGTTTAAATACACTTACATCATGTGTTCTCAGATGAAGAAGGACAGAATTAGATCAGATGTGGGGGATAAGGACACGCAACAGGCTGTGTGTATCAGAATGCCTTTAAAGACTGTTTGGAATTGGGGAGATGTCTCAGGGGTTAAGCGCACTAATTGCTTTTCCATGGGAAATTCCAGAATTCAATTCTCAGCACCTGTGTGGAAGACTACAAGCACCTATAATTGCAGTTCTAGTGAATCTGATGTTGTGGATACACAAGGATGTTGGCAGATATATATGGAGAAAAATACTAAAACACATAAAATAAAAGAAAACATTAAAGATTGCATTTATTATGTCTACTCATATGCCAAGGCACATGTATGGAGGACAGAGGACACCTTTGGATAACTTGTTTCCTCCTTGCACCCTGTGGATTCTAGTGTTGTAAATTCATATAATCCTGCTTAGTAGCAATCACTCAGAGTATCCACTTCTTGATTTTTCTCTTATAGACTCTCACTTTTAAATTTTATCTTTGAAATAGAGTCTCACTTCATAGCCTTGACATTCTTATTTCTCATTATACAGACCAGGTTTACTGAGAGTCTTATTTAACCCTGGCTGTACAAGCTCGAGACCCTCCTCTACTAAATCCATGGATATAATGTGTGACTCACCACAACTGGCTCCCCTGCTTTTGATTTCATAAGCTTTGGTAGGAATGTACAATAACACTGACTCTCCCTAAGTCAGATCCTAATGCTTTGGGAGGACTTCATGAAAGATTGAAACTTCCCATCTTCTGAGATTTATATAGAAGAGATACAGTGGGTATGTATTTTCCTTGTATGAGGAGAAGGTTCCTTATACTAGGTGATGAGTGAGGGAAGGTGGAGTCCCAGGGTTCTCCAGGATCCTTAGTGTATGGAGTTGGGATTAAATTGTTATGAAACACATAGATGGTGGAGCCAGAGCCCTTTCACCTGAATTTTGTTTCACTCTCTAACAGGGTTGTTTAAGCAACTCTATTCGCTTTATTTGTTCAGTCCCTTGAGAAATATTCTCAATGGTTAGCCCTGGCTGTCTTGATTGTTCTATACAGACCAGGTTGGTCGCAATTTTTTTTAAGTTTATTAAAATATAAAAGTTTCCATTTTCGACCCTCTTCCCAACACCCTCCAACTCCCCCCACTCCCTCTCCTCTTCCCTCTCCATCCCTAACAGCAGTCCGGGTTTCCTGCCCTGTGGGTAGTTCAAGTTCCTACCCGCTCCCTCCAGGTCCAGGAAGGTGAGTATCCAAACAGACTGGATCCCCAAAAATTCAGAATATGCAGAGGAAACAAGTCCCAGAGTCATTGTCAATGGCATTTAGAAAGACTTCGGGTCAGCCACATTCAAGGAATCCCGCCTCCTCCAGAGAATCTGGTTGGATCAAGCACTCCTTCAGTCTCAGTCAACTGGCCTTGGTGAACTCTCATTAGATCAGTCCCCTTGTATCAGTGGGTGATCGCTCCCCTTGCAGTTCTGATTTCCTTTTTCATGTTCTTCCTCCTTCTGCTCCTCCTTTGAACCTTGGGGGGCTCAGTCCGGTGCTCCAATGTGGGTCTCCCTCTGCATCGCCGGATGAAGGTTCCCTCTGATCTTGCCCTCCCTGCTCACGTTCTTCTTCCTTCTGGTTCTCGCTTGTACCTAGGGAGTTAAGTCCAGTGTTCCAACGTGGGTCCCTGTCTCTATCTCCATCCATTGCCAGATGAAGGATCTATGGTGATAAGCAAAATATTCATCAGTATGGTTATGGGCCAAGGCCAGTTCAGGCACCCTCTCCTCTGTCCAGAGAACAATCTGGGGATCTCTCATTGGACCTGGGATCCCATTTACAGTCAAGTCTCTACTAAACCCTAAACTGACTTCCATACATGATATATATTCTTCCCTGAACCCATATCTATCCTTCCTCCCTCCCCGCCTCCCAGTCCCCCGAGCATTTCCCTTTCCTCCCCTGCTCCCTTCTCTCTAACCCTCTCCCCTTACAACTACCCTCCCACCCCCCCATGCACCCATGGTTACCTGGAACTCTTGTCTATTTCCAATCTCCAGGAGGAAAACTACCTGCATTTTCTTCAGGTTCACCTTCTTATTTAGCTTCTCTAGGATCACGAATAATAGGCTCAAAGACCTTTAATTATTGCTAGAATAAACTTATGAGTGAATACATACCTTATTCCTCTTTTTGGGTCTGGCTTACCTGATTCAGTAAAGCGTTTTCTTTTTATTTTTCTTTTTATTTATTTATTTATTTATTTATATTTAATTTTTACTGGGAACCCCTCCAGAATCAAGTCTCTTGCAAACCCTAGAATGGCTCCCTTAGCAGAGATATAAACTTCACTGCTCCCATAACCATCCTTCCTCCCTCCCCCTCCCATTCCCTCAGGCCATCCCCAATCCTCCCCCTCTCTCCTCTCTCTAACCATCTTCCCTTACTTACACCCACCCCCACCCCCCATGCACCCGAGTTTGCTTGGCAATCTTGTCTAGTTGTATTATCCAGGAGGATAACTATATAAATTTTCTTCAGGTTCACCTTCTTATCTAGCTTCTCTAGGATAACAAATTATAGATTCAAAGACCTTTAACTATGGCTAGAATCCACTTATGAGTGAGTACATACCATATTCCTCCTTTTGGGTCTGGATTACCTCACTCAGTAAAGCATTTTCAATTTCCATCCATTTGCATGCAAAATTCAAGATGTCATTGTTCTTTACAGCTGAGTAAAACTCTAATGTGTATATGTTCCACACCTTCTTTAACCATTTTTCTATTAAGGGGCACCTAGGTTGTTTCCAGGTTCTGGCTATTACAAATAGTGCTGCTATGAACATAGTTGAACAAACATTTTTGTAGTATGATAGGGCATCTCTTGGGTATATTGCCAAGAGTGGAATTGATGGGTCCTGAGGGAGGTTGACTCCCAGTTTCCTGAGAAACCGCCACACTGATTTCCACAGTGGCTACACAAGTTTGCATTCCCACCAACAATGGATGAGTGTTCCCCTCACTCCACATCCTCTCCAGCATAGGCTATCATTGGTGTTTTTGAGTTTAGCTATTCTGACAGGTGTAAGATGGTATCTCAAAGTGGTTTTGATTTGCATTTCCCTGATCGCTAAGGAGGTTGAGCATGACCATAAGTGTCTTCGGGCCATTTGAAGTTTATCTGTTGTGAATTCTCTGTTCAGTTCAGTACCCCATTTTTTAATTGGGTTAATTAGAGTTTTAGTGTCTAGTTTCTTGAGTTCTTTGTATATTTTGGAGATCAGACCTTTGTCTGATGAGGGGTTTGTGAAGATCTTCTCCCAGTCAGAAGGCAGCCTTTTTGTCTTACTGACAGTGTCCTTTGCTTTACAGAAGCTTCTCAGTTTCAGCAGGTCCCATTTATTCATTGTTTCTCTTATTGTCTGTGCTACTGGGGTCCTACTTAGGAAGTGGCCTCCTGTGCCTATATCTTGTAGACTACTTCCCACTTTCTCTTCTATCAGGTTCAAAGTGGACAAATTGATGTTGATGTCTTTAATCCATTTGGACTTGATTTTTGTGCATGGTGATAGCTATGGATCTACTTTCATTCTTCTACAGGTTGACATCCAGTTATGCCAGCACCATTTGTTAAAGATGCTTTCCTTCTTCCATTGTATACCTTTAGCTCTCGTGTCAAAAATTAGTTGTTCATAGGTTTGTGGGTTAGTATCTGGGTCTTCTATTCGATTCCATAGGTCGACTTCTCTGTTCTTATGCCAATACCAAGCTGTTTTCAATACTGTAGCTCTGTAATAGAGTTTGAAGTCAGGGATAGTAATGCCTCCAGAAGTTCCTTTATTGTATAAGATTGTTTTGGCTATCCTGGGATTTTTGTTTTGCCATATAAACTTGATTATTGTTCTCTCAAGGTTTGTGAAGAAGTTTGATGGGATTTTGATGGGGATTGCATTGAATCTATAGATTGCTTTTGGTAGAATAGCCATTTTTACTATGTTGATTCTCCCAATCCAAGAGCAGGGGAGGTCTTTAAATTTTCTGGTATCCTCCTCAATTTCTTTCTTCAAAGGCTTAAAGTTCTTGTCAAATAGGTCTTTCACTTCCTTGGTTAGAGTAACCCCAAGATATTTTATGCTATTTGTGGCTATCGTGAAAGGTGAAGTTTCTCTGATTTCCCTCTCTGCTTCTTTATCCTATGTGTATAGGAGGGCAACCGATTTGTGGAGTTGTTCTTGTATCCTGCCACATTATGAAAGGTGTTTATCATCTGTAGGAGTTTTTGGTAGAGTTTTTGGGTTGCTTATGTACACTATCATATCGTCTGCAAATAGCGAAAGTTTAACTTCATCCTTTCCAATTCGAATCCCCTTGATCTCCTTATGTTGTCTTATTGCCATTGCTAGAATTTCAAGCACTATATTGAAGAGGTATGGAGAGAGTGGACAGCCTTGTCATGTTCCTGATTTTAGTGGAAAGGCTTTGAGTTTCTCTCCATTCAATTTGATGTTAGCTGTCGGCTTGCTGTATATTGCTTTTATTATATTTAGGTATGATCCTTGTATCCCCAGTCTCTCCAACACCTTTATCATAAATGGGTGTTGAATTTTATCAAATGCTTTTTCAGCATCCAATGAAATGATCATATGGTTTTTCTTCAGTTTATTTATATGATGGATTACATTGATAGATTTGCGTATGTTGAACCAGCCCTGCATCTCTGGGATGAAGCCTACTTGATCATAATGGATAATTTTTCTAATGTGTTCTTGGATTCGGTTTGCCAGTATTTTATTGAGAATTTTCGCATCGATGTTCATGAGT